TGGTTTTCTGTCTTTGACTTTTGGTTTTTTGACTTTGATATCTGGTTTTCTGACATCCATTCCTGGCTTTGACTCTTTGACGATTGGTTATCTCGGCTCCAAATACTTGTTTTTTAATGGTTTTTAGACGTTGATTTCAGATCTTATTATAATTGCTGGTTTTCTGACATTAATTATTAGTTTGCTAATTTTGCTAAGTGATTGATTTCTTTCACTGCTTTTCTGGTTTCAGTAACTGGTTTTCTAATTTCAATGATTAATTTTCTACTTTTGATTATTTCTTTTTTTTACTTTGATTTTTGGCTTTCTGTGTCTTCGATGGCTGCTTTTCTAGAACCACCTATTGGTTTTTCTGAGTTCAATTATTGCTTTTATATCTGTGATTACTGGTGTTGAGTTATTGTGTTTGAAACTATGTTTCTCTCCTCATTTTATCTGTTTTCTCTCTTCAGTGATGAGTTTTCACTTAATGTTGTTCAGGTTTTGGCTAGTTTCAGTGGCGTTTTTTTCAATTGTTTATTTTGAGCCACCAATCTAGGTTGGTCACCTTTAGTCACCTGTGGGGGGATGTTTTGCTGAAAATGGAAAACATTTTCTTTGTCTCTCTCTCTCTGCACCTCAGATGTTCATTCAGGTTGCGAAGGAGGTTGGCGAGACCTGCAATCTCCCCCAAATTCAGGTGAGTCCTCATTTCCCACCTGCCGAGATGTAGCGGTACAATGCTGGTTCCCCTCCCATCACCCAATCTTATTCTTACCAGACACTGTCTCTATTCCCAGAGCACCTCAGAAGCCCCATCCTAGACCCAGACTGCAGCGTGCTAGGCGCTGGACAAACCCAGAGCAAACAGCCAGTCCCTGCCCCCATTGTTCTCCCTCCATGCCCATGTCATGCCCTGGGTCTCAGTGTCAGTGGCTGGGTTGGACAACAGCCTCCAGCTCTGGTCTCCTCTCTGTGCCCCCGACCCCAGCGTGACCCTTCTCCTGCGCTCTCTGTTGCAGCGCCTGGACCTGTTGGTGCGAGATTGGCAGCTCTCTGGATCCTATGGCGCAGACGAGGGGCAGGAGTATCTCAGAGACATCACACAGGTAAATGATCAGAGCCAGGCACCAGGTGTGTTCATGGAAACAGCAAACTCCAGCTTTGGGGCAGAGCTGAATGTTTCCATGGCTGGTCAGATTTTTCACTGATGGCAGCAAATGTCACTTTGACTCCCGCAGCACCTGGAGGTCACTGCTGGGCAGCCCCTGGCATTGGGAGCCCTGAGGGCGAGCGGCACCCGATGCTACCTACTGCCCCATCCTGGCACTCGGTTCACCAGGAGCAGGGCAGGGACGCCAGGTGGTAAGAGACCTCTCTTCTTCCCTCGTGCCCCCTGCACTGCTCCCCCAGTCCCCACCCCCTCCAGCACTGCCCCCACCCTCAAATCCCAGTGACCGGCTCACCCCCTTGCCTTAGCATTGACTGTGCTGCCCACTGCACAGAGGTGCTCACTGGGTCACAGCATCTGTGCAGGACGGGAGGGGGACCTGAGGGGACACTGCTCTGCCCTGGGCTCCTGGGGGAAGCTGCTGGTTCCCCCCTTTGAGGCCTTCAAGGCTCCCCCTGCATCACCCAGTGGAGACTGCTGACTCCCCCCGCCCACTGCAGCTTCTCTAGCGCCCCCCGCACTGCTCCCCCATTTTCCCCCAGGCAGTATGGGGGAAGAGTCCTAAGCAACTGTTGCCCAAAGATGGGATCTCATTTCCTGTTTCACAAACGAGCTCCCACATCCCCCATTTACCTTGTGTCCTGGGTCCCTCCCGGATGCCTGGGTCCTTTCCCCCCTGCAGACATGGACGAGGATTTCCGGCAGTACCTGTGTGAGTACGTCACCAGCGTGGTGCACTCAGCAGGGACACACGTCCGGACGGACCGAGCCGGGCTGACGGGGGCTCAGCTGGCTGCCAGGATCAAGGTGGGAGAGTGGGGTCTGCTAAAGGGGGGGGGGGGCTGGATGGCCGCCGTGCTACAGAGAGCAGGGCAGGGGGCTCAGCAGGGTGTGCTGTGCTGAAGGGAGTGGGGAGGGGGGCTCGGTAGGGGGCGCTGTGCAGCAGGGAGCAGAACAGGGGGCTCGGTATAGGGTGACCAGATGTCCCAATTTTATAGGGACAGTCCCGATATTTGGGGATTTTTCTTATATAGGCTCCTATTACCCCCCACCCCCGTCCCAATTTTTCCCACTTGCTGTCTGGTCACCCTAGCTCGGTAGGGGGTGCTGGGCTGCAGGAAGGTGGATGGGGGGCTGGCCAAGCAGTGGGCTGAACTGTCCCTGATCCCAGTTCCCCCGGGCGTTATTCCCCACAGGACGTCTCCCAAGACTTGAAGACCCAACGCTACGACTTCTCCTCTCCTGTGAAGGTACTGGGTCACCCCTCCCCCTGCCTCTCT